ACACACACACACACACACACACACACACACACACACACACACACACACACACACACACACACACACACACACACACACACACACACACACACACACACAATATCTGTACAGGGATGAGAATTTCTCACCGATAACCCGCTTTTATATAAATATTTTATTCACGCTACTCGCCATTGTTACAAGTCACTGAAATGTGAAAGTGTTTGACCAATGCCAAACAGTTTCTGCTCGATAGATCGGCGCGATACTGGAACTAGCATGTGTGAGTTATGTTAGTTTCGAGATGAAAAACTACCAAAACATACAGATACACAATATAGAAACAGTAACGTTGATGTTACCGTTTCTATTAATATTAGTTCTGCATGAGTATCTAAATATGTCAAAATGCACTAGTCTCACCCCCCCCCCCTTCTAAAGAAAACATCTTTATTTTTAACATGAGTAAGAATATTACATTAACTGGAGTATCTACGTGAAACCGTTTGTTCATGTGAGGCTGACAACGTGCTTCCTCTAGTCGCAAAAACACCTGCTGCTCTTGTGCATAATTTCACTTGTATTAATTAAAATTCAGATTTTATTTAAGATAGCTACTTAAGGCTACAGGAACTAGCCAATTAACAGGCCACGATCTTTAAAAGTTACCACATTTTAGAAAAATACGTAAAATGTAGCAAACTAATCTGTGAATAAAATATTTCATGTTATGTGTAACATTCATCTGCCTTATGTGGCAATTGTTTAGCTTTAAATAAGAAATGGACAACATAAACTAGACGTGTTCATTTTTCTACAGTTCATACACATAAATATTTGTTTTTATAAAACCACAAAAAATACGATCTTTTTTCTATTTAATGGAATCGAGAATTAATATTTAACATCAACACCATTTTGTAAACTTTTGGGATAAGCGGCCGGTTCAGAGACCTCGGGGCTTGCGTTGGACAGAATCACTAGTGATGGTAACATCGTCCAGCTTGATTGTTCTTAGCTCTTTGCGGGCAGTTGGCCTTTTTTTACTTCTATTTAAGTCTTTACCTAATCTTTAGGCATTGTTTCGTTTTTAAATCTTTACATTTTACTAGCAGCTTTTTACTGGTTGTTTGTCGCAGATAGCCTAGTTGCTTTGCGCCATAAAACGTCAACCAACCAACCAAATAATCTTGGGGCTCAGATATAGCTAATTTGGAATTATCGACTAGAGGGAAGGCAGCTAGTCACCCACAGCTACAAGAGCTTTGTCCATCTCCTGGAATGAAATAACAAAAATGCCTTTTTTTTTTTTATTATAACACACCCATAATGAAAGTACTGAGTCTTATCAGCAACATCACTAGACTTCTTAATACATATAGAACTTGGTTCCCAATGAGCTTGAGAAATGAGAATGTACAAGACTGGAGATGTAGTAATAACAATTACACAAAGTTAGTGAATGCGTATATAAAGGAAATGAATGTAGAAACGCCACAATCTAGAAGGGAAAAGCACGAGCTATGCTATACTTTAAAACATTGTGTGTGTCCATTAGAAATTAATTACTTTTCATATCTTTAAAAAAAATGACAAAAGTGCCTCGTTAAAACAGGTTCTGAATGTTTTCATAAAAAGAAAAAATAAAGAAAACTCAAACAACGTTGTGGTCAGAATATAAACCCTGTAAATCAGTCGTATCAAACTTCTGGTTAGTCCTGTCTCGTGTTGGAGATTACATAATTATAAAAGAACCTTAAAGAGAGCGCGGGAAATTCGCCAAAAAAATCTTCAAATGGTTATTAATGTATTCAAGAAGAGAAGAGAAAATTATCGATTGAATGAAATATTAACTTTTATTCTTTGTATTTCCTAAATATGTAAATACTGATATCGAACCTAGAAGCTTTACGGTACTATATTCTAAAGAAAAATGGTGGAAAGAAAATGCCTAATCCCTTTCACTAACACCCCAAACATAACGAAAAGAACGCTTACCGGTTATTTTCCCTTCAACAGGTTCGGAGCATTCCTTTTTACAAGATCTTAGAAAAGGTGCAAAATTTGAGGCTTCAGCAGTGTGCATCATCTCTGTTGTCGCGTGCGCTTCAGCCATACCTAAGTGCGTGTTCCCATTTAATAATTCTCGTAAATGTTGGAGTAGTGACATTGACACTAGAGGGCGCGTTGACTGAGAATAGATTGAAACCAGAAACTAAAGTAAAGTTTTAGTTTATCCCACGGCTGGTCGGCTCAAATCCCGATTCGATTCCTGTGGCGGAAATATTGCAGGTAGCCCATTGTGTATCTTGAGCTAAAACAAACCTTGATTACGTTCGTTTATTAATCTAATTTAGCAGACAGTGTCAAAAAAACATAAATGCATTTTGAAGTGTGCACTCCTTTTACTTCGGGACTTGGCATGATCTAGTGGTTTGGGCGCTCGACTTGTAATCTGCGAAACCCCCCGCCGATCATGCTCGTCCTCTCAACTGTGGGAGAGTTATAATGTGGCTGTAAATCCCATTATTCATTGGTAAGGAGTAGCTCAAGATTTGGTAGTGAGAGTAGTGTTGACTACCTGTCTTCCTTCTAGTATATAATTTTAAATTAGGGACAGTTTGTGTTGGTAACCCTCGAGTATAGCTTTGCGCGAAAATTAAACAACAAATACTTATTTTCTTAATTAAGTTAAACACAACTTTGTTTTCCTGATGCAATACTTAATTAAAACAATTATCTTAAAGCTTTATTAGGAAAGAAACCGAAACTAATTTGTTTTAGACTTTATTGATTCTTTGTGAAGCCTCCGGTGGCTCGGTAACAAGTCTGGAGTCTTGTAACGCTAAAAGACGGGTTTCGATACCTGTGATTGGCATAACACAAATACCCCATTGTGAAGCTTTATGCCTAATAATAATAAACAACCAAATTTATTTATGGATACGGTAAAAGTAAACTCTAAGTCGGAATATTTTATTTTTGAAAATCACGTGTATTTTAACCAGTGAAAAGTAGTTTTTGGTTTTCTTTTTCTTAAGTTCGTGAAACCGTTATTAGACGTTTTTCAGTGTATTGTAGCGAAAGAAGAGTTTGGTTAGTCTAACTTAGAATGTTACACAAAGTACATGTTGTTGCTCAATCAGCAAGAGAGAGAGAGATAAAAAAAAAAAAAAACAAAAAAAAACGCACTTTGCAAGAATTACGTGGGAGCTTTATTATTGACAAAAAAAAGGAAAACATGTCATTATTTAGTTTAAATACTTTGATATAACTGTTTTTGAATACAGTAGCTTTATCGTAACAGCTTAGTCGACGCCGTTGCAGTACAACAAATGTAATAACTATGTTGTAACAGATGCAACGGTGGTAATAGTTTATTTGTAGCGGATGTAACACAGCGATGGTAATAACTGTGTTGGAACAGTGGCAATGGTTGCTGTAGCAAATGTGGCGTAACTGTAGTAATCATTTGTTATAACTTTAAATAATGTAACTATGTTAGTAACTTTGTAATAATGTACAAGAGCCACTAATACGCTGTAATAAACAGTGTGGTACAGTAATTTTATTATAACAAATAATTTACGGTGATATCTGCTCTGCTTTAACTCCACTTACTGTGGCCATAACTGCGTCTATAGCTTACTCTGTTACTACATTACTCTATGGAATTGTTTATTGTGGTATAATATTTGCGATTTTAACAAATAATTGTAGTAATTTCTATGGTCTAACAGGCATGAGATACTGTGGTAACTGTTTGGTTCTCTATAACAAAAACGCCTTTACAGTTAAACGTGCTCAAACGAAGTTACAAACAGTAACTGAATTATTACAGATTTGTTTCTTGTAATCTAAGAACTTAACATTGTATGTTATACGAAGAGAGAAACCACAGGATCGTAAACAATTTTTTTTAATTATTTACCACGTAAAGTATAAGCACAGTTTAACTTGAATCTAAGAATGTCATTTTACATATCTTCTCCCAAATCTCAATCAGTATTATTATTATTAAGTTGAAAATCGCGAACAGGTTCGTCATACGAAGCTTACTCTTTCTTTTTGAATTTCGCGTAAAGTTATTCTAGGGCTATCTGCACTAGCCGTCCATAATTTATCAGACTAGAGAGAAAGTAGTTAGTTAACCCCATCCACTGCCAACTCTTGGACCAATCTTTTACCAACGAAAAGTGGGATTGACCGTCACATTGTAACGCTTCTACGAATGAAAAGTCGACCATGTTCGGTAACTAATTCGAACCCGCAGTTTGCGAGGCGAGCGCCTTTAACCACCAGGCCAGGCTTTTGTGTATAGTGATTATTCTTGGAAAAACAAAGTAAAAATAATAATAACGAGAAAGGGAAGTTTGGGATTTGAATAACGGAGATTACTACAGACCAAGATTACTACAAACCAACAATTTTCGTTCTCTAAGAGAAACTTCCCTACTTAACTTTTTTCTTTGCGGGTGGAGAGGGGGTAGGGTGGTAACTAACCATTTAAGACTTTGAAAGGGATTTCTTTTAGATCTGAACAAAGGTCATTTAAACATAAAGGAGGTTTGGGAATAAAAGGATTTTGTTGAGATTACGACGTAACGACTTATTAAGACTAACGAAGAACGTCATCGGAACATTACTTAATCACTCTCTTTTATATTTCGGGATGAATGATGCAATTTTCTATAATTAGTTTATTAAATCTCTCTTCAGAATGCTATCAAAGCGCGGCGTTGTCGTAGAATACTATGAACTGTTAACCACTTCGCTGTAAAGCTATTATGCAATCGGATCTTAATTATTCTAAAAAAAAAAAACAGGGCATTAAGGCTTTAATAACGTATTGAAGCGTCGTTTAAAGGATATTGTTATCATTAATTTCCTTTTTCCTTCTTAATGTATATTTAAATTAAATTCGTTCTTAACGAAGTCAAATGAGCTCGAAAGAGGAAGTAAGGAAACTAGTGCCCACGTATTGATATTGGTTTCAAATAGGATATGCACGTAGAGAGAGAAGGATTATTTTATAATTCGGATATCTACAGATCATGATGCATATATAGCTTTCTTTGCCGGATTGTATTCTCTCCTTTGCACAAATCTAGCCAAGCATTGTGGATAAAAAAAAAAAAAAAAAAAAAAAGTGTTGAAATGGGTGTAAATATATTTAACACAATGGGCTGTTTGTGCTCTGCCCACCACGGGTACCGAAACAGACATACCGCTGTGCCACTGCGGGGGAAGGGGCTAACTCATTGTTAACGTTTAAAATTTATCATATCAGAAATATGATGGTGAAATACAACTGTTACTTTTTTTGCATGCTTACGAATAGTTGACAGCAAGTAAAACTCCAGTGAAACGTTTAGAAAGCCTACGAAACATGGTCTGCCAAATATTTTTTTTTGTTTGTAAACATAAGTATTATATGTTACTATGTTCACCCGAGTTCAAAATAATTGTTATGAAGAAATATATCGTCAAAGTATATCAAAATCCTGAACAAGGAATAGTTGGCAAACTTTTTTGTGAACAAGAGCGACATCTTTTGACTCCTTTTTATTTTCTGTATGATTGTTATTAATAACCCGACACAGACACCTTATGCAACACATGGATTTAATGGTCTGGCCAGAGACACGTTATAGATGTCCCTGAATTACTACTGACAAGAGGGAGGGCAAGCAGTCGGCAATACCCATTTCCACAAGAGCTTTCTTCAGTTTTGTGAATCAAATAATGGGACTGATTGTGACTTTTATAACGCTCGCGTAGCTGAAAGTGAGGAACATGTTCAGTGGAATTGTTTCGAACCCCGGCCCCTTCAATGCTCACGTTAACCTTTAGGCTGCACCCAGCTCTCCATAAACGAAAACTTATCGAAGATATTTTTACGTCTTCTGCTATCGTTAATAGATAAAAATATTTTTAAAACTCTCAATTTAAAAAATCCTATATATTCTGAATAGATTAAGTACCAAATGCAAGAAATGTTATCAATATTAGGTTCGACGTTCATATTTCAGCGATATCGCCAAGGATGCTTTGAATGAAAAAATGAAATTCCAATCTTCTAAGCCAAAGATTGGTTTGCCTTGGGAACCTAAAGTCCACATCGTTCTTCGATGATAAAAAAACAAAACCAACAACAAAGGAACGTTGGAACTGCTGCAAGACACCCTAGATTGGACTTTCATAAGTTAAAATTACGTATTCAAAAAACACTTATTGGTATAAGCTAAAAAACGTTAAACAAGAAGGTTTAAAGGACAAATTCGTAATTGACCAGAAGCTAACAACAAAATTTAGTACATCGATATGTTTAAACAAATAAGAACTAGGATGCTTGCAAATAGATAATAAATTGTCGTTTTTGATAACCAATATTTAAGGTATATCTATACAGAAACGTGGGATAAATGAATAACAAAAGTAAATCTCTTATTGTGTAAAATGACATTCTGGCCAATAGGTGGCACTACAAATCAAAATACTATAAAATATAAAGTTAATCGTGTCTATTATATCGCCAAAGGGATAAGTGTAGAGTGCTTTTTTCTGTTATTATTTTTGCTTGTAGCTGAAATGAACGTGATAAATAGACAGATTACAGATTTAAAATGTGCTCTATGCTCCAATAAATTGCTTGTTATAATACTTATTTATTTATAATATTTGCAATAAATGTATACAAAGGTTGTTTAAAGTAAGGATGATGTATTACAGCATAGCTTGTTTTTATTATTTTCGATAAAGGATTCCTGTAATACCAGATAGAAACTCGCACATCAAGTTTGATCTAGTTTCACACATTTCAAAGCAGGCAATCTTGATGAACTGAAACATTTCAACGACAACCGACACGTAGAACTGAAAACAACAGCCGCGAATCTTGTTGAACTGAAACGTTTCAACGATAACCGACACCTAGAACTGAAAAGAACAAAAACAGGGAACTGACATAATAACTGGAGAAGTTATTGTTCATTCGTTATTCTTACTGGTCTTAGAATTTTCGTACAAAGCCACGCAAGGGCTATCTGCATATAATGGTCACTAATTTTGAACTGATAGATCA